GGGGGGGGCGCTTTGAAGAAGTTTGGGGAAAAAAGTTTGGAAAAGTTTTTATAATAACGAGGGGGCGTCCGGAGGGAGGAGGCCGCGGCGGAGGAGGGGGCGTCTCAGAGAAGGGGAGGGAGAGAGCCACGGGTGACGATAACGGCAACCTCCTGAGCACCCCCCTCCCATCCAGACCCGGACCTGGGGTCTCCGGCCGGATCCATGGGGGCAGCAAGCTGCGAGGATGAAGAGCTGGAATTTAAGCTGGTGTTCGGGGAGGAAAAGGAGGCCCCTCCGCTGGGCGCGGGGGGATCGGGGGAAGGTTAGTGCTGGGCTGGGAAGGGGTCTTGGGGTCAGCGAGGGAAGGGCCCAAGGATCTTGAGTCTGGGGATTTTAGGGCAGCAAGCGTGGGGTGGGGGGTGAGAGAGCCAGAGGTTGAGGGGAGTCACGGGGCTCGGGGGTCTGCGGAGGTGAGGCTGGGGGCCGAGCACCACTTTCTCCTTTTTAGGTTGTGACTGGGGTGGGGGTGGGGGTGCAGTTGGCTGCGCGCCGCCTCTCTGGTCGACTGTCACTGGGATGGGGGACGGGCGGGAAGAGCGGTTCCGAGAGCCCCGGGCGCCGCCAGGGGAAGGGGAGATCGGGCCCTGGAGCTTGCGCCCTGCGGACAGAGTCCGAGGCCCGCAGACCCGACGCCAGGGGTTGGGGGTTCTCTCAAGCCCAGCCCCTCCCCCGTCGGCAGCAATGAGAGGCAGATGGCGGGGATTGAGCCGGGGGCGGCGGCCGCCGCTCGCACGGAATTCGCGCTGCCCGCGCCCCGCTCCGCCCCTCTCCCCGCCGGGCCCGGCACGCAGCACCCCTTCTGCTGCACCCCCGCCTCCAAATGGCGGGGAGCGAGGGAGGAAGGCACCTCCCCTAGTCACCACAGCCCCGGCGCCCCTCCTCTCTCCTGGCCACCGTTGCGATGGCAACTGGGGCTCCTGCCAGCACCATTTGGGGGTTTGGGAACCGCTGCTAATTGGGTTCATGTGTGAGTCGCCCCCAGCCCAGCGCAACGCCTTCCTAAACACGCCTCCAGGCCCAGCTCCAGCCCCTCTCGACCCGCCTCCCTCACCTTAAGACCCGCCCTGCCTGGTACCCCAGGTTTCAGAGCCAGGGGCCCAGAGCATGAGGTTCAGCGAATGGGAAAAGGCCTGACATGTCTGGATCTACCTATTCCACCTTCCGAGGTCCAACTTAACTTTGTCCTTGTGGCTCTGAAGGGCACCTCAGGGACCCCTCGTAGCTGAGGAGCGGGTAGCATACAGCACCTGGGCAGCCGGCTACTCAAGACACCTAGATATCTCACCTGCTTCTTCCCCTTCCCATCTCCTGTGGTATATCTCTCTCTGTCCTCCTCCCTTCCCATTTTGACAGAACTGGACTCAGAGGACGCCCCACCATGCTGCCGTCTGGCCCTGGGGGAGCCCTCTCCCTATGGCGCTGCCCCTATTGGCATTCCCCGGCCTCCACCCCCTCGGCCTGGCATGCACTCACCACCACCCCGCCCAGCCCCCTCACCTGGCACTTGGGAGAGCCAGCCAGCCCGGTCAGTGAGGCTGGGGGCCCCAGGAGGGGGCTCCGGGGGGGCTGGGGGAAGCCGTGTTCTTGAGTGTCCCAGCATCCGCATCACTTCCATCTCTCCCACGCCGGACCCGCCTGCCGCGCTGGAGGACAGCCCGGACGTCTGGGGGGATGGCTCCCCCAGGGATTACCCCCCACCAGAAGGCTTTGGGGGCTACCGAGAGGCAGGGGGCCAGGGAGGGGGCCCCTTCTTCAGCCCGAGCCCTGGCAGCAGCAGCCTGTCCTCGTGGAGCTTCTTTTCAGACGCTTCCGACGAGGCAGCTCTGTATGCCGCCTGCGATGAGGTGGAGTCCGAGCTAAATGAGGCTGCCTCCCGCTTCGGCCTGGGCTCTCCACTGCCGTCACCCCGGGCCTCTCCTAGGCCATGGACCCCAGATGATCCCTGGAGCCTGTATGGTCCCAGCTCTGGAGGCCGGGGGCCAGAGGATAGCTGGCTACTCCTCAGTGCTCCTGGGCCCACCCCTGCCTCCCCACGGCCTGCCTCTCCATGTGGCAAGCGGCGTTATTCCAGTTCAGGGACCCCATCTTCGGCCTCCCCAGCTCTGTCCCGCCGTGGCAGTCTCGGGGAGGAGGGGCCTGAGCCCCCTCCACCACCCCCATTGCCTCTTGCCCGGGATCCTGGCTCCCCTGGTCCCTTTGACTACGTGGGAGCCCCACCTGCGGAGAGCATACCCCAGAAGACCCGGCGGACTTCCAGTGAGCAGGCAGTGGCCCAGCCTCGGTCTGAGGAACCTACCCCCTGCAATGGGAAACTGTCTTCTGGAGCAGAGGAGGCCGGGGCTCCCCCTGGGGGTCCTCGGAAGGAAGTGGCTGGCATGGACTACCTGGCTGTGCCCTCCCCTCTTACTTGGTCCAAGGCCCGGATTGGGGGACACAGCCCCATCTTCAGGTGAGGGCTGTACATGGCACCACATTGTCTCCAGCCATTCCATGCTGGAGCAGGAGGGTCAAGGGGTGGGTTTGAAGAAAGATCCTAGTTGTGTGCCCTTGGAATTTCAAAAGAGAATCTGCAACCAGCTTGGCTGCTGTCATCTACACAGCTTTAGGGAGAATTAAAAAACAAACAAAACACACACACACAGATGATTTGCAAAAGGACAATCACTCCCTGTGAACCAGTTAGAAAAAGTCTACCACGCCCACAGTTTGATAAAAGAGGAGTTCCTCTAGGGTATCTACCCTCCATCCCCAGGTCTGTGCTAGCAGTAGCTGGGCATGGAGTATTGGCTGGGTTTCAGCCCTACACTGGGTATCAGGAAGTTCCCCTTCTCTAACTTAATTTCTAGGGTCTGACGTATGGCTTTGAAGTATGGCTGCTAATTTGCATATAATAGCATATATTTACAGGTCAAAGAATTAGTATTAAAACAGGCAGTTCTTGCAGTTCTTCTACCTCTTATCCCTTGAAGAACTCTGTCCATTTCAATAATCCAAATTTTTGGGATGTTAGGCTCCTTTCAGAAAAGTTTCCTGGAGAAAGAAACCTTAACACCCATTCATCTGGGTTCCCATGGGCAGGCTCTCTCACCCTCAGCACTACTGATGTTTTGAGCAGGATAATGGTTGTGTGGGGCTCTGTTGGGTGATGGAGGGTGTTCAGTAGATTCTGGGCCTCTATCCACTAAGTGCTTGTAGCACCGTCTCCCCTAGTTGTGACAACCCAAATATCTCTAGACATTGCCAGGCATCAGTTGGGGCAATGGTCAGTTGTGATCCTCAGGCCTCAGGAACCTGAGAGCTCAATGCAGGACAGTTGCCTGTCTGTAACCCCCAGCTCCCTGGAGCCAACCTGTCCCCAACTAGTGGAAAGGCGCTGGTCTGGGAATGGGAAGTGTTCAGTCACCTGGCTTCTGTCAGTTGCTGGCTTGCTTGGCTTCCTGTATTCTATTCTCTAGGCCTCAGTTTCTTTATTTGAAAAACAAAAGAATTAATCTCTGAGGCCTTTTCTGGATGGGTGGTGCTTATTTATTTGACTCTTCCCATGCAGGTCTGGGAGATTGGATTAGGTCTGGCTTCACTCTGTATGCAGGTGAACCCCGGCCACCCAAATCCTATACTCAAAGCTGAGAAGAAGGGAGTCTCAAGCCTGGTGTTATATTCTGCACCCCTCATCTCAAGGGGGTCTGAGGGAGCTCACCCCTATCTCCCCTTACTTCTGGGCTTCGGCACTGTTGTATTTCTGCAGTGATTTCCTTTCTCCCACATCCACACCCCTTCCTCCCCATATCCCACAGAGCTGGGACCCAGTGTTACCCTGACTGGGGTGAGGCTACAGATGATCAGTGCTCTTCTCTCCTACTCAGGACCTCTGCCCTACCCCCACTGGACTGGCCTCTGCCCAGCCAGTATGAGCAGCTGGAGCTGAGGATTGAGGTGCAGCCTAGAGCCCACCACCGGGCCCACTATGAGACAGAGGGTAGCCGCGGAGCTGTCAAAGCTGCTCCTGGTGGTCACCCTGTAGTCAAGGTAAGGGGCAGAGGCCAGAAGGTCTGTAATAGCCTTTCTCCTCCATGGTTGCAGATTCCTGCAGATGGGCTCCAGCTGTGCAGACCCATGGCACTGCCCTTTCCCACACTCCCTCTCAGCAATGACCCTGCAGGCAGCCTGGAGGAGGGGCTGGAGTTGGGGGAGGAAGGGTGCACTTCAAGGACCCAGATACACTTTGTACTCCTCTGTCCTCCCACCATCCCCTGCCCCCACTCATCCCATGGGGTATCAACCTCATGTCTACTCTGGTGGCTTGCCAGATGCAGGGGAGGGGTTAGGCTGAGGCCAAAGTTCACTGGGAGTTAGGGTGTCTCTATTGAGTTGGGCCAGTCTCTCTTGGAAGATTTTTCCCTTTACCCAGCCCAGTTTGGGCCTTATTCCAAGAATAACACTGAATTCCAGGCCACATTTTCTCCACAACTGATGCCCAATTCCCCCTGGGAAACCCTTCCAGGATATCCTTTATCTTTCACCATCCTCACCCCTAGGTGGACTGAAAACCCAGGAATGGATGAGGATGAGACTGGGGATTTCAGCTGGGTGGCCCCTCTCTCCTTCTGCCAGCTCCTAGGTTACAGTGAGAAGCCCCTGACCCTACAGATGTTCATTGGCACTGCAGATGAAAGGAACCTGAGGCCCCATGCCTTCTATCAGGTGCACCGTATCACCGGCAAGATGGTGGCCACGGCCAGCTATGAGGCTGTAGTCAGTGGCACCAAGGTGTTGGAGATGACTCTGCTTCCTGAGAACAACATGGCAGCCAAGTAGGTCCCCATTTCACTTATCCTCAGTCTTCAGGTTTTAGGATCAACCTTTTCTGTGGGGCCTAGGCTAGGCCTACTCTTCCTCTTCCCAGAAGAGCCAGACATCAACCCTAGGAGCTGGTTTCAAGCCTTATCACCATTTAGAAGAGGAGTTTCGGAGCTGGGAGCTCTTTTGAGACGCCTCCTGTAGTTAGAAAATAGTCCCCTAGGCTCCCAGGGAAGGCCATTCAGGGCTTTGGATGGAGGGTGGGGCTTCTCTCTTGAGGGAGAGTCACCATTCTGGGAGGGCTTGCCTTTCATTCTTTGCCTTCAGCATTGACTGTGCTGGAATCCTGAAGCTTCGGAATTCAGACATTGAACTGAGGAAGGGGGAGACAGACATTGGGCGCAAGAACACACGTGTGCGGCTGGTATTCCGGGTCCATGTGCCCCAGGGCAGCGGGAAGGTCGTCTCCGTGCAGACAGCATCTGTGCCCATCGAGTGTTGTGAGCAGAAAGGCCCTGTACCATCTCTGTCTCTTGTGACTCTCTTGTCTGTGTCTGTCTGTCTGCCCATCTCCTTTGCATAGTGTCCTGTGCCCTGTCTTTCCTGGGTAACCTTGTAAAGGACTCAATCCTTATTTCTGTCATGGTTGGGGTGGGGGCAGTATTCTAATTTGCCCTTGCTGCAGACTCTGTCTCTGAGCTGGAGACCAGAGTGGCCCTGTCCTCCAGCTGCCCTGGGTGGTCCTGTACACTTGCTGGGTAACTTTCTGGGCCCCCTTGTTTACCTCTCTTTCTGCTCAGGAGCCGCTCCTTACATGGTCTGTGTGACCTCAGGTGTATATTGGTTCACTTGTGCGTCTGCCACTGATGAGGGCTCCTCCAGGACCCTGTGGCAGTTATTTCATTGAGGGCATGGGCAGAGGGGGCTGTCCTCTCCACACTCAGCCCAGCCAGGCCTCTTTCCTGCACTGCTTTGCAGCTCAGCGCTCAGCCCAGGAGCTGCCTCAGGTGGAGGCCTACAGCCCCAGTGCTTGCTCTGTGAGAGGAGGAGAGGAACTTGTGCTGACTGGCTCCAACTTCCTGCCAGACTCCAAGGTGGTATTCATCGAGAGGGGCCCTGGTGAGTATCCACTGGGAAAGGGAGGGCAGGCAGGTAAAAGATCTCTGCCACTGTCACCAGACTAGCAACTTGAGTCTCAGTGTCCTTATCTGTAAAATGGGACAGAGCCTGCCCTTCCTATTGTACTGTCTGCTTCTCATGGGGAGCTGAGTATGACAGCAATCTAAAAGGCTCGCGATGATAAACAAATGTAAGGAATAGATATTGGTTTTATTAAAGAGGAGTCAGCTTTGAGATAATTGACCCCCATGTAGATGTGAGGAAGAGGGAGGAGGTAACCTACATCTTCACAGCCTTGAGCCCCTCTCTTGAGCTGTGGGCCTGGTAGCACAGCTATGATTATAGGAGCCTATGAGGTGCCTCAGGATGGTGCTGCAGGGTTGGAGAAGGGCAGATGGAGGGGTCCAGGTGTTCCCACTAACCTGAGACCTTTGTCCTCCCCCATCCCTGCCCACCAAAAGCCCCAGCTCCTATACTCAAAATTAGTACCCTGGGACTATGTCAGAGCAGATTCAGTGGTTCTGAGTCATGAGACATGGGGTCTCATTGCCTACCTTCCAGCGAGGACCATTACCTACTTTTGAAGTTCCTCCCAGCACTGTCATGGGAAGGAATGTTTGGGGTTGGGTGGAAAATTAAAGAGTTCATTCTGTCACTAACTCCCACTGGTCCCTGGGCTGGCCCTACCATTTCTCTTTGTCTCCATTTGCTGCTCTGTACCTTGGGAACAGCTCTAAACCCTGCCTCTTCCATAGGACTCAGTAAACATGCAGTGGGCTTCTCTGTGAACCAGGCCTTGTAGAAGCCTTCTGAGTCTGGCCTTGGCTCTAGCAGGAGGGGAGATGGGGCTGGGCAGGGGGCAGTGACCATGAGGTTAGGCTGGAGCTCTCTGTCCCTCCTGTACAGATGGAAAGCTGCAGTGGGAGGAGGAGGCCACAGTGAACCGGTTGCAGAGCAATGAGGTACCAGCGTCACTAGGGCACCAACCCTGGGGGCGGGGATGGGACAAGTCTGGGAATTCTCAGCTGTGTCCCTTGACCATGGAAATGGGCTCCAGAAGCTACCTATTCTTTTCTGGAGGAGGCAGCCTGGCCACTCTGGAAGCAGGTTCATCTCTAGGGAATGAACTTTGCTCCTCAATCATTGGAAAAAGCCAGGAGGTGGAGTTTGGGTCCTTGGAAGGGCTTGGCTGAGCCTAGATTCCAAGGGCTCCCTGCCTCATCCCGTGCTCTTCCCCAGGTCACACTAACCCTGACTGTCCCTGAGTACAGCAACAAGCGGGTGTCTAGGCCCATCCAGGCCTACTTTTATGTTTCCAACGGACGGAGGAAGCGCAGCCCTACCCAGAGTTTCAAGTTCCTGCCTGGTATGCTCTAGAACATCCTGTAGAGGGTATGGGGAGCTGGGGCAGGGGCAGAGGGATGGATGGAGCCTGGGATGGGAAGGTGGCTAGAGGCTGTGCAGTGGGGGACTGCCAGCCCTCTCACCAGTGTGTTCTCCTGCTTTCCCATCTACCCAGTGATCTTTAAGGAGGAGCCTCTGCCAGACACATCTCTCCGGGGCTTCCCTTCAGCATCGGGTCCCCCCTTTGGCACTGACATGGACTTCTCACCACCCCGGCCCCCTTACCCCTCTTATCCCCATGATGACCCTGGTTATGAAACTCCTTACCTGACAGAAGGCTTCAGCTATGGCACATCCCCTCTGTATCCCCAGACAGGGCCCCCACCATGCTACAGATCTGGCCTGCGGTTGTTCCCTGAGACTGGGTGTACCACAGGTTGTTCCCGCCCACCTCCAGTCTCCTTCCTTCCCCGGCCCTTCCCCAGTGATCCCTATGGAGGACAGGGCTCCCCTTTTCCCCTGGGGCTGCCATTCCCTCCTCCAGCCCCCTTCCGGCCTTCCCTGCCTTCATCCCCACCTCTTGAAGGTCCCTTTCCTTCCCAGAGTGGTGTCCGTGCCCCATCTGCTGAGGGATTCAATGAGGTAGGGCCAAGCTATGGCCCTGGGGAGGGGGCTCCGGAGCAGGAGAAATCCAGGGGTGGCTACAGCAGCGGCTTCCGAGACAGTGTCCCTATCCAGGGTATCACGCTGGAGGAAGGTGGGTGCGGGACCAAGGGCTGTGAGTGTGAGTGTATGCACGAGATCGCTCTGCATGTTTGCTGAGGGTTAGAGCTTGACTTCTCAGAGGCTGGTCATCCTAGTCCCTTGAGGCCAGGTGGAGGGTCTCAGGAGACAAGTTCTTGGTGTGTGTGGCCACTTGAATCAGCTAACTGAATTCTGAAGGGTGTGTGGAGTACCTGCCCCAGCCCTTCTCTTGCCTCTGCCCTCTGCCCCAGATCCCACCATCTCAGGGCTAGACGGACTGTCATTCAATCAGCTCTTTCAATTTGCAGATTCAGACAGTGAGCTTCAGAAAGGGGCAGTGACTTCCTGAGGTCCCAGTCAAGCATGTTTTCCCTTGCCTCAGCTTTCCCCTACACATGGTGACTGTGGTCAGGATTGGTGACAAGGAGCCTTTGTGTTTTTCACCTCCTTCCTCCCACTGGCTACACCCACCTCCGGCCCTGCTGACAGTGAATGCTCTGACATTGCAGGCCAAGCCAGCAGGAAAGGGCTGGGAAGGGGGCCTGGGAGCCCACATGGATGTTGTTGAGCAAGATTTGATTGGGAGCAGGTATCAAGACACATTGGGGAAACTGAGGTCTAGTGGAGGAAGAGCCTAGAGGCGTCCTAGCTTGAGACCTGTCTGGAATGGATTCGGGGGTATCTCTAGAAAAGGAGGGGACCAGCCACTAGTCCAGTCTCTCAACCGCCCCTCCTTTGCAGTGAGTGAGATCATTGGCCGAGACCTGAGTGGCTTCCCTGCACCTCCTGGAGAAGAGCCTCCTGCCTGAACCATCACCTGGCAACCCTACCCCCACCCCCACCCCCAGCACTGCCCACTTTTCCTTCCTCCTGGTGTGGTGGTTCCAGAAGCTTGGGGACAATCTGGTTCCTCTTTCCCCAGCTTTGCCTCCTCCTTCCTGCTCCTAGCTCCCTGCCCCTAGCTGAGGTGTGGTTCCCAGGGCCTGATGCTGCCTTGGAGGGCCGGGATGGAGTGGAGACTGAGTCTGAGTGCCAGGACTGACTGGAGTGAAGCCTGTGTCTAGATTGTGTCCAGGCCATGGTGCTGGGAGCCTGGGGACAGGTTGATGGGTAAATAAACTGCTCACTTGCTAGTGCTTCAGGCTCCAGGACTCTTTGGAGAGTGATGAGGCCGCTTACTCCAGCCCTGGCCCAAGGAGGCTTAGAGGTTGGAAAGAGATAGAATGTGGCTGGGAACATTGCATCCTAAAGAATTTGTCACTGGAGAGGGAGCAGGAGAAGGTTTGAAGGGGCTCCAGAGGCTCCCTAACTGGGGTGAGGTTAGGAACCAGGTCTTGAGTAGGACTGTCCTCCCCAGGGATTCAGATTCCTTTAGGAGCCTTGGGATGGGGCCTGGGGATCTGTATATTTTTAACTTCTTTACTTTTGTGGCCACCCAGATGATTCTGATTCATAGCAAAGGTCACGAAACATTAGTCTAGGACCTCTCCCTAATTTTATAGAAGGAATCTGAGGCTCAGAGGGGGAAAGGGGTTTGCCCAAGGTTGCCCAGCTAATCAATAGTAGGTTAATTACTCCTGCCCCAGCCTACACTCAAATGCCCTGACCCACGAGGCTCAGGCCCCTTAGGCCCACCTCCCTGGGGAAGGGCAGCAGGTGAGGAAGGGTCATCATGGGTTCATCCGCTCTGGATCCTCCCATGCTTGGGAACTGTGAGGACATTCTGGAAAGGTCTGTGCTTCAGAGGTATACTGTTGGGAGCCAAGCAGCTCCCCAGCAGTTCTGATGCCACATGCCCTGGCCCAGGGCATTGTATGAGCTCCTGGCCTGTCCTGCAGGCACCCACATATCACCACTGACAGGCCAGGGCTGGAAACCTGGTTTGTCCCCTGTCTTGACAGCCTATGGGTTGGAGAAAGTCAGACCTTGTCTGCCCTGCTCACCTGGAGCCTGACACACTGTAAGCTCTGAGTACCACCTGCCTGAGTCGGCTAGGCTCAGTTGCAGGGGGTGGTACCTAAAAGATACTTGGGGAGTTAGGACTTGGGACACTTGACCTCACCTCACAGGTGGTGGGGTCTCTCTATGCCCAGTGGATCCAAACAGGCCTGGCAAGTACCTGTGTGTTCAGACGCTGGCTCTAGGTCAGAAGACCAGAGAACCACAATGCTCCCTGCAACCCCAGCCTCCAGGTAGTGGCTTTGCAATGAATTTCCTTACCTTCCTCAACACAAATTGCTGTGAATCAAACTGACATCAGGTGATTAGCTTACTGGGCTTTGGCTGCTTTTTAAAGATACCCTCCAGCAGGGGCCAGTCATTACCCTGTAATCTCCATCAGGAGGGACCCTAGAGTGCATGTAGAACATCAGCTTTCCTCAGCTCCACCCCCAAGATGTCTGAAAGGGGTGGGTCAGCCTTTGTGAAGGAAAAGCTGTAGTGATTGGCACGCACTGCCTCTCAAGGCAGATGGTTTCATTTTCTGCCAGGGCACTGCCATTCATTCATTGCCAGACATTTATCCTGCAGCTACTAAGTAGTAGCCAGTGGGCCCTGGAGGACTTCTTAGGCTCACGGGGGAACAGTAAGTAAACAGCTCATAAAAATTCAACATTTCAACAGTAGGTATTTCTTGTACAGTTAGTGTGTCAGGTTTTGGGTGGGGTTTAGAGAATAATTTTAATACAGGGTGCAGAAGGAGCAGAGAGCAGGGCAATCAGTGCAGCTATGGGGGTTAGAGAGAACTTCAGGGCATGACTCCTAGAATGAGAATGTGAAGCTTGATGGAATTGACCAGGCCAAGAATAGGGGAAGGGCAGGTCAGGCGAGCACCGGAATGGGCAATGCTGGAAGAGGGAGGCAAACAGGAAGGCTAATGGATGGAGGGCTTGGCACCCTTTGAGGTTCTGTTTGGTTGGGTGGAGGACAGGTGAAGTTCTGAAAGTGCATGACTGTGAGGAGAAACTGGAGAGGGAAATAGGGGCTGGATTCTGAGAGGCCTTGTGGCCATGCCAGGGAATTCAGTTATCCCAGTATGATGGGAGTTTCCCACTAGACAGTATGCTTTAAGGTGGGAGTGGTAACAATAGATTTGCCATAAAGGTCTTCCTCAGTTTGGGCTGACATCAGTCTCCCTGGCACTGCTCTGCAAGGGCCTAGTTCTGCCCTCTGGGCCCATACTTTACAGGCCTAACCCTTCTTCCTATTGGAATTTTTGTGTGGGCCCACCTCCCAGGGTCATTGCTTTTTCCCAGGATCCCTACAGACATTTGGCTCCCTGAGGCTGGATCTTCAGCTGGTGCCGGAAAAGACTTTCTTGGCCAGGGTTTCTCCAAAGTGTGGTCTGAGGATTTCTTGTATTTGAATCACTAAGGAGTTTTATTTTGGTTTTGGGTTTTTTGTTTATTTTCTGTTTTGGTTTTTAATGTAGATTCCTAGGCAACCCTTGACTTACTCAGTTATATTTGTGGGGAGTAAGATCCAGGTATCTGCATTTTAAAGAGGAACCCTAGATGATTCTTCAGCATAGGAAAGCTTGACAACTAGAGTCATTTGTCAATTAAGTGTCACTTCTTCCTACACTAAAATCTCCCTGCCCTTTTTTCACAGATCTTGTCTGGGCTGCCCTGGGTGAAGTATCACCTGGAAAAGTGTATTTAGGAGAGGGGGAAGGGCACACATATTCCTGTTAATGTAACTCTTCTCTGCCCTTATCTGGCTGGGTCTTGCTATTTAGATAATCTGAGGATGGCCTCAGGGGCAGCCTGAAGTCTAGTGCAGAATTAGCTGCCCCTAGAACTATTGAGTCTCCTTCTCTGCCTGAACTCAGCCTCTAAGATGCCTGGGAAGGGCACACTGGGTAGCTTTCCAGTCGGATTTTGGCGTTTCTTAGAGGGGTTCTGTGATGCCTTGGAGTCCACCACTGGTGTGAAGGTGGCTACAGAGGAAGGGGGCAAGTGCACTGCCTGGAAATTCCCAGTGTGGAAATGGCATGGGGTTTGGCTGCTGTTTTGGGGACTGGGTTTAGTGTTCTCAGTGACTGACTGCTCACTTAACCAACTCCCTGCAAAGTCCTCCAGGACCTTCGCTCTGTGCGAAGCCCTGTGCTGGGCACAAGGGACATGGGCATCACACTGGGGCCTTGCTTGGAGCAACAGACCATCTAGTCACTAGTAGGGGAGACTTTCTTGCCTAGAAATAGGAGGGAGGTGGTTCTATCAATGCTGTCTGAGAGGCAGAAATGATATGTTGCTATGGAAACCCTGGGAACTGAAGCCAAGGGAGAGGTCAGAAAACATTTGACAAAAACAGGTGGTTTTGATCTAGGTCTTCAAGGAGGAGGGACTTATTTTGGTAAACAAGATAGGCATGAGAGAAGGGGACATGCCCAAGGGTTGAAGCATATGAGGTAAGACCAAACAGGTGGGAAGGAATCAGACTTGGGATAGTTTAATAGGCCATGCTAGGAAGTATGGAAAACAGTCTTTTGCTCACTTGGTGAAAGGGTCTACCAGTGTGTGAGAATGTGTATGTGTGTGTGATTTAAGGTTTAGAGCTATATGGAGACATAGTGGTAGGAATACCAGAAAGAAGGGGTCTGCAATCCAAGAGGAGTCTGGGCTCTACCTACTGCTTAGCCCATCTAAACACAATGAGAAAAGGTTGGGGTGGGGGGCCGGGGATAGGATAGGTCTTGGGGGGCAGTCCTGGTTCAGCCATCAACTATGTGTATGATCTCTAGCATGTCCCAGGCCCTGGCTGCCTCATCTGTAGAATTTGTTGAGCTCTCCTATGTGCCAACCTCTTGATAGCTACTGGGGATAGAACAATAAATGAGACCAACGTGGGTCCTTCCCTCAAGGAACTCAGAGTTAATAGGCAATTACAGAACAGTGCATAATGATTGGGAAGTAGTAAGGCTTTGGGACCTTATAGAAAGGTCCTGGACAGAAAGTCAGAGACCAAGTTTGGGTGAGGTGGCAGCTCCCTGACTATGTTCCTTTTATGTTCCTACACTCCCTTTTATGTTCCTCTGAGTAATCCTTTTAGCTTTTTTTGAATGTCTTAGTTTCCTGGGGCTGTTGTAACAAAGCAGCACAAACTGGGTGACTTTAAACAATAGAAACTTAACTCCCTCGTAGTTCATGAGACCAGTAGTCTGAGTTCATGTTGTTGGCAAAGTTGGTTCCTTCTGGAGGTTCTGAGGGAGAATCTGTTCCACTCTTCTCCCCTAGCTTCTGCTGGTTATTGTCAATTTTTGGTGTTTGGCAGTTTATAGTAGCATCACTCTGATCTGCTTCTGTCATCACATAAAATTCTTCCCTGTGTTTCCTCTGTGTCTCAGTGTCCAAATTTCCCTTAAAAAGTTACATGTGATTGGATTTAGGGCCCACCTGAATCCAGCTGGACTGCATTTAACTTGAATACATCTGCAAAGACCCTATTTTCAAATCAAGTCACAGTCAAAGGTACCAGAGGATAGGACTTAAACATATTTTGTTTAGGGCTGCATTTCAATGTACCACACTGAATTTGCTGAAAAGTTTTGCCAATCACTCTGATCTCAGTTGTGTTATGCAAAACTGAGTAAAGATATCCATGTTTGAGTCCAAACAATGCAGGAGAAAGCAGTATCCTCTGATGCCAGGTTGGTGGAAGTAGCCATAATGCATAGGCTTCCCAAGATTAAGATGACTTTTGAAGCAGCAAGAGTAGGACTTTTAAGGTCAACTGCTTCACTCCTCAGGAGATTCTCCCTCTCCTGCTGTTCTTGGGCAATCTTGGTGTTATTTTACTTGGGATGCTGGGAGATCATAGATTTACTTAGAACTACATTTATAAACTGGAAGGAGTTAAGATGAAAAAGGAGTAAACCATTACGTGAGAATGGGTATTAAAAGATCTGAAGATTCCCCAGAAATAAATCCTTTTAACTATGTAAACCAGTGTTACCTAAATGTACTAAAGCACGAAGCTCTTTTTTGTAGGACAATATTATATTAGTTGTCTATTCCAGTGTAACATATTATCCTAAAACTTAGTGGCTTAAAACAATAATAAAAAGTTATCTCATGGTTGCTGAGGGTCAGAGATTTTGGAAATGACTTGGCTGAGCAGTTTTGGCTTAGAGTCTTTCATGAGGTTGCAATCATCTGAAGTCTTTGTTGGAACTGAGGGATCCATTTTCCAGGTGGCTTATTTACATGGCTGGCACATTGGTGCTAGCTGGTGGTGGGAGGCCTCATTCTTATTTCATGGGTGTCTCCACAGGGCTGCTTGAGAGTCCTCATGACATGGCAGCTGGCTTTCCCTAGTATGAGCCATGGAATTCAACCCGTGCCATATCCATAGTACTCTGTTGGTTACCCAGACAAGTCCTGATTTAGTGTAGGGACAGGAGTTGAGGTTCATATGGGATCATCTGAAAGGCTGGGTACCACAAATATGAAATTTGTTCATTCAGCAAATATTTATTGGTGCCTGCTATATGCCAGGCGGTGTTCCAGATACTGAGCATGCAACCAGGAGCACCTCTGTCCTTGTGAGGCTCACATTTTAATGACATCTCACTCAATATCTGATTGAGGCAATTTGGGAAATACTGCTTCACAAGGATGCAGGAGGGTAAGTGAAAAGTCTGAATATAGAATGTTAAATGCTAAGATAGGGCAAACTCACAGTACCATGAGAACCAGGGCTGCTAACCCAGGCTTGACATTCTGAAAAAGGCAAAGTGATAGACACAGAAAACAGATCAGTGGTTGCCAGGTGGAATGACTAGAGAACAAGGAATAGTTGACTACAAAGGGACAGCAATGGGAACTGTTCTGTGTGACATCATGGTGGTGAAAATATAACTATATGTCATTGTCAAAATCCATAGAGCTCTACAAAGACTGAATTTATATACAAATTAAAAAAAATTCAATCTCAGCATAGCTTGCAGAATATACCATATGAATCTAACTGTATTACAAGTATGTATATGAAAAAGGTGGGTAGGGGGAAGAAATGAAGATGAGTAATTTGGGAAAAACAATGCTTTGACTGGATACTGTAAGGCTAAAGACAAAGGGAACCATACATAAACATTATATTTGGTAAGTTTGTTACAGGTGAACAATTCTGAATCTACTTATCATGTATATGTGTCAAACAAAGAAGTAGATAAATTTTAACTAATGGGAGGTAGGTTTCTCACTGTCAGAGAAAGAAGGGGTGGTTGGCATAGTGTGGGGTGAGAAAGGCTAGAATAAGCCCTGTAGTGTTGGGTTTGAGTTGGAGATATCAGTAAGTATTCATGCTAACTTTATATACACATATATACATAATATTATAGAATATATAATAGATTTACATAGATATCTCTGTATGTAGATCTATAACCCATAGATATCTGTATAATATACATATGTGGGTGTATGTACACACACAGTTGGAGATAAATATAGGTTTGGTGTGCATATATAGCTAATATACATACATATATTTGCTAGCTTTGTCTGTTAGGAGAGCCTATAAGAAGTGGTACCCCATTAAAATGAGCACACCTAACATCCAGATGTTGGTTTCTAAATACCTATTCTCCAAAAAAAGGAAGCAGTATTCCTTGGGAAAATGGAAAATTCTAGGGCTGGGGCATGGAAAATACAAGATAATCCTGGAGCAAACTGCATTGCAAGAAAGTGCTGAAATAATGGGGGTGGGGTGGGGTGAGGAGGTTGGCTATCAAACGTGAGCTAACTCAAAAGATGTTCCAATGGCTAGAATGAAACAATTTGAGCAATGTAACAAATACTAATAATATTTAATTATAACTCAAAGAATTAAAATAAGTATCTGTATATACATGTTGATCTAAATAAATGATTGAATAAATAACTCACTGAGGGAGAAGGGATAGATTCCTTTCCAGGAGAGTTCCAATTTATAAATATAGAAGGAATGAAGGAAATAGAAAATCATCATTAGATCATCACAGTAATAATGGCTAAAGGCAAGATAGTTGACGAATGCTAAAATCAGTAGATAAAACTTTAAGGACAGACAGGACATTTGCAAAGTCTCAAATCATATGCTCCAAAATATGTTAATTACTATGAGGGTTTTAAAATACAATTGCAAATTCTTTGATACCCGTTGTGCTAGGAGACAGAGTTCAACTCCTCTTGTCTTGAATGTGGTCTGGCTTAGTGACCTGTAAATAGAGTATGGAAGGGGAAAAATACTGTAGCAACTTTACAGCAGAGAAACCAGATAAACACCACCTTAACCCAGCAATTGAGGTTAACATCACCAGCAATAATTCATGTTGATAGCAGGTGCCTGATATGATGCATTGAGAAGCCCACATCACCTCTGTGATACTCATTCCCAAAACCCATAACCTTATTCTGTTCATGACAAAGCACCAAACAAACCTAAATTAGGGACAGTCTACAAATACCTAACCACGAATCTTGAAATGGATTGAGATTTTTATTTTTGTTGAGTAAAATACGAGCATATTTTTATATTGATTCCTGCAAGGGAGGGAAGCTTAAGCTCTAGCAGAGGGAGGGGCAATCCATTCTAAAGCTCTGTGATTTTGAAACTCTTGGAGGCACAGCCCTGTGTCTGCAGCTCTTGGATCATGCATCCATTTGGATGTGTCACAGGCATCTACTTTAGATGCACTTTCCACTGGACAAGAATTCTTGGTTTCTTCCCTTCCCTCCATCCATACAGCTTTTGTTTGTGTCCTTGTCCAGCTGGAGAATCTGAAGAAGAGAGACCCACTTCCTTCCCAGTGGGAATCTTCAATCTTGCTTGGCTGTGCTCTCTGGGAGCCTGGAGCCTGGTATAGTGGGGATCAATCTCCGAGTTATCATGTAGGAGTGCTAGGAAGGTGACTGACACTAGGAGGCAGCAGGAACAAGGTGGGGGAGGCAGGGTGGGAGGCAATTCGCCCGAGGAGGAGAAAGGTTAGAAAAAACCGTGCCCCTGTTTCTGTGGGAGTTTCATATCTAGATCCTCTTCTGCATTTTTTCAGACCATCCTGACACATTGGTTCCCCTTTCTCAGTGTCACCAGTCCCTTGGACCTTGGTAATCTTCAATTTGCCTTGTTAATTGTACTTTTAGGGAGATTTTCTTTTCTCCCCTACCAGATTACAAGATCCTAAAGAGCAGAGACTATGGTTATATTTATAACTCTTTGAGCCTCCTTGTGCATTGAGTAATAAAAGCATGTCTGTGATGCACTAGGGGAGTGCTTTACATGTTTCACTTCCAAGTTTGCTGCAATCCCAAACTAAGGTGCAAGAAATATTTATTAAGAATAGCAGCAACGGAAGATGACACTTAGGAAGTGTTCACTCTGCTCTAAGCCCCTCATCAAGTCCTTTACATAGCCCCTCTCATTTATCATCTCATTTAATCCTCTTCCAACAATCATAGGAAGTTGTACCTATTTTCATCCCCATTTCATAGGTGAGGAAACTGAAGCACAGAAGGCTTAAGTAGTGTCTACAGTCACAGCTCCCCAGGGACAGAGCTGGGATTTAAAGGCTATTGCTTAACTTCAGATCCAGCAATCTTCCATGACACTGCAGCCAATTCCTTATCGCATGGGCGGTATCAGATGAAAAGCAAACATCCAGGGCTTCCTCCAAATTAGGCACCCAGACAGCCCAGAGATTGAACTTTAGACTTTTAATCAAAGGCTCTGGGATTCACGCTCATGTTTCAATTTCATCCACTTCTTACATAGTGAAACACAGGGGTTGGACTGGTCCAAACTGTGCTTGAGATCGAGGAGTTTATGTGGCAATGGCAGTGTGTAGAGGACCCTGAGGAAGGAGACCTTCCCACTCAGGGCTGCTAGATAAAATACAGGACATCCAAGTCCCTCCCTCTTGTCACCCCCTGGAAGGGAGAGTGGGGAAAGGGTAAACAGGTTGGCTGTATGTGCAGATGAGGGGCAGAATTTGTTTTGAGCCCACACTGAACCCCTTTTCTCTCTATTCTTTTGGTCCTTTAAGAGTGTTGCTCAGCCTCAGTGAGAGGTCTTCTTCATTTCTTGTCTCCCTAGTGGCCATCTTGTCACCCTGGCTGTGGAGACAAAGTACTTGGAGTCAAGCAGGTGCTGAAACACTTTATGACCACTAACGTGGGTGATAATGTAGAGCACATAAAGGTTTTTCCAAAGCAGAGGAGATTAAACTTCAATTCTACTTTGAGTTGTTTTTGTATTATTTTCTCCTTCCTGAAAATTCAAACACTTCCTAATTTAGCAACCCGTTGGTTGCTGATGACAGTTTCAGTTTTGTAGTTTTGGGTAGATCTGGCGTCCATCAAGACTCCATGGTTTCTTTGAGGTTGTAGTTAGTCAACATTCTTTTTATAAGGAATATAGGACTAAGGGAAAAGTGTTGGTCTCTGTGGGGATTAAAAAGGCATGCATGACAAAGGCCTACCCTCAAGGATGCTGCGGCCTGGATAAGAGTTTGTCATATAGCCATGTTTATTTGTTCACAAAGGATTTATTAAATAGTAAGTACCTGGCAATGGTAGGCACATGGGACACAGAAATCAGTAAGATAGGATTTCTGTCCTCCGGGGCTCACATTTAGGAGATCACTGAGTGCTCCAGAGGCGTGGTGTTGGTTGGCATGGTGCTGTAATGATTTCTGCCTGTTACCTGTTGCTGTAACAAACCACCCCAACTGAGGTGCTTAAGACAATGGCTTGCTTGCCCTTATGATTCTGTGATTTACCCTAGTGGTTCTGCTCTCACCTGGGCACACTCTCTCACCTGGGCACCCGGGGGCAACTCTTGCCTGGACACCCTGGGGCAGCTCCCGCCTGGGCACACTCTCTCACCTGGGCACCCTGGGGCAGTTCTCACCTGGGCACCCTGGGGCAGCTCTCCCCTGGGCATACTGAGGCAGCTCTTGCCTGTGCACCCTGGGGCAGCTCTTGCCTGGGCACCCTGGGGCAGCTCTCAGCTGGGCACACTCTCTCAACCTGAGCACCCTGGGGCAGCTCTCGCCTGGGCACACTCTCTCACCTGTGCACCCTGGGGCACCTCTCGCCTG